ATATATTACATATTATACATTATATATTACATATAATATATTATATAAAACATACAATTCTTACATATTTATTTAAAAAAATCGCCATACAACTAAAATTACTTTTAATTATAAATTTAATTTTTTTTCAAGTATACTAATTTTGATCATAGTAGGTAAGCTACCATTGGAAGCATAAAGATAATATGACAGTATTATAATTTGCAAATGACTGATTGCGTTTCAGTTTATAACTTAAAACAATAATTTATTAAAATGAATAAACTAAATAATAATTAATTATAGACAATGTCAGCAAGTTAGAAATTATAACCTACTTTAATTTTATAGAACCAATATCTTGGTCGCCCCATGCGCGTCTATGCCCAATATTTTATCTGGGGCCAATTTTGGATTTATTTATCCAATGTTAGCATAAAATATGCATAGTTAAAAAAGTATTGAATCAAAAAGAATAAATTAGTATAAAAGCAAAACTTACATAATTTTTTTAAATTATTTATTTTTTGGTGCATGGTGATATCTGGACAGAAAAAGTAAGATAATTCGGAAGTAGGTAAACAGGTAAATCAAACGGTGACTGTGTAAATCACACGTTCGGAGATAAAACTTATTTGTAGTGCATCTTCCGGCGCTCTGCGTCCGCATTTAATGCGATAATCTTAATCAAGACCGCGTTTGTGCAGCAAACAAAACCCACGTAAGTGTGAAACCGATCCCCTCCGGTTCAAATATTGCGGTTTATCGTTAATTTGCAGCGATGAATGCGTTCTTGCCTAACGAACTCTAAACAGGAACGACCGACGGCCATCGGCCACCCAATTCAAACGGTTGCGGTCACGGTATTGCCGCGCAAGGACCTAAAACCCTTTATTGCACCATCTTTATTGCTTTATTCTTGATGCACAAATTCAATTAGAAATATCTACGATTTTGATATTAATATCAATGGAGCTGGAATATCAAATAAAGAAATGTTTTGTTTATATACACTGCGCGTCAAAATTAACGCATAATAAGTAAAAAAATTCTAACTCTAAAGTCTATAAAGTCTAAAAGAGCAAATAAAAAATGCAATTTTTATAATTTCATAATTTTATTTAGAATCAGAAACTTAAATAAAAAGTTAATAGAAAAACTGTTAAATTTAAACATTAAAAACATGAAAATAGTTGTGAACTTTTTGAATAATGATATATCATTATAATAATAAAGACCAGGATTTCTTTTTAATTTTTTAAAATAGTTTGCCTTAAAAAGCAATATTTTTTATGAGTTTAATTGTTGAATATATATCCAAAAGTAAGAGTAATTTAATTGTAATTTTTTAAATTAAAATTTCTGCGCCAAAAAAACTATTTTCATGTGGTAGATATAAAGTGGAAGATATTTTTTTTGAAAATTAAATAAATACAGTAAATGGTGTTGAATATGACCAAAAATGCAAAACTAAGAATTTTTTGCTTATTAGACCCTGCCAGTTTGCACTATTTGATCACCTTTATATTAAATATTATTTTGATCTCAAAAATGTTTTTAAACATAATAATTTAATTTTGTTTAAATTAAGTTCTTAAAACAATCTAAAGCATTTTAGGTGGGCATTTTGTTATGATTATTATAAACTGCTCGTCATAAAAATCGACGCACCTAGGTTTTTGGAAAATATTTGAAAGCTCGTTATTGAAAAATTACTAAATTTTTTTGAAAATCTTTGAAAATTCTGAATAGCTGATTCTTTGACTCTTATGTCAAATTTTGGGAATACGATATTTTGCACATAGCATTATACTACAGGGTGTTAAACGAAGAGATGTATTTTTTCCGAAATTTCAAGTTATTCCCATTCATGAGGCAGTTGAGTTTGATAGTCGTAATATTAGTAAGGTAATCCCTCGAAACGTTTTCGAGATTTTGTGAATATCGCGGCTTACTACGATTATATGCCAATTTATCGAAAATTGTCGTTATTTCCCAGTTTAGTCCAAAAAATGAGCAATAGTGGATTCTTTGACTTACATCTAATTTTGAGAATAAAATATTTTGCACATAGCATTACACTACAGGGTGTTAAAAAAAGAGATGTTTTTTTCCAAAATTCCAAATCCCCATTCACAGGGCAGTTGAGCTTGAATAATAGTTAGGTAATCCCTCGGTACATTTTCTAGATTTAATGGATATCTTGGCTAACCACGATTGTACGGCAATTTTTCGAATTCACGTTATTTTTCATTTTATTCCAAAAAATTAGCAATAGTTGATTTTTTTACTCTTATGTCTAATTTTGGGAATACAATATTGGGCACATAGCATGATACTACAGGGTGTTAAAAAAAAGATGTTTTTTTCCAAAATTCCAAATCCCCATTCACAGGGCAGTTGAGCTTGATAGTCCTAATACCCCTTCCTAATAACATTAAGGTAATTTAAAAAATAAAATGACGGATGTACGATTGCATACCACGCAAGACGAAGAGCTGCCTGCCCTCTTTTTCTGCTATAGAAGAAGATGGGCACAAGAACATGCAAATTGGGGAAACGATGTGTTGATAACTAATCGATACCTTTCGTAGTTTGCTCATTTTTTGGGAATTAAGTGGAGAATAACGACAATTTTCGAAAAATTGCTATATAATCGTAGTTAGCCAAGATATCCACAAAATCTTGAAAACGTCCCGAGGGATTACCTAACTATTATTAGGGAGTAGTATTATTACTATCAAGCTCAACTGCCCTGTGAATGGGGATTTGGAATTTTGGAAAAAAACATCTCTTTTTTTAACACCCTGTAGTGTAATGCTATGTGCAAAATATTTTATTCTCAAAATTAGATGTAAGTCAAAGAATCCACTATTGCTCATTTTATGTTATTAGGTTATTTTTATTCTTAATAAAATTTTTGAGTTTTTGATATGGTAATACATCCCAAGCAGCATTTTAAGTTAAAGTAATTACATGTTAAGTTAACATAAGTTATTTTTACAGTAAACGTAAATAGTAAAATAACGGTACAAATACAAAAAATTACCAAATATTATTTTCACTATAGTGTATACATAATAGCTATCCAAACTACCAAAAGAATAACGTAAAAATTACTTCCTTTCTGTTTTCTCCCTCTAAACCTTTAACATATGTATTTTAAAATGGTAACTTATAAAGTAGGTAATAAAGTTTACTATAATGTAAAATTAATAAATATAACTTACATATATTGACAAAACTAATTATATTTACCATTAAAACGCATTTTATCTTATAGATAAAAAAAGATGATACATCATAAAAAATCTATGTCCTCTATAATATTTATAAATATTATATTGTTTAAAAAAATATATGACACAAAATAAACAAATCTAAAAAACTTACATAATTGAATTGGTAAGGTTAAGAACAGTATAAGTCCAAAAGTTAATATTTTAATAAATTATTTCATAAAATCAGTTTTATATTTCAAAATGCATTTTTGTAAGGATATTTATATATATTTATAAAATATTATAAGCATATTTTGTAAAATGAATTATATCTTCTCACAAAAATGCATTTTAAACTTTTAAATTTATTTTAGAAATTGATTTGTCAAAATTAAAGTTTTGGACTTGTACTGTTCCTAATCTGAGATTGGTAATCTCACCGATTCAATTATATAAAACCATTTAATTGAGTAAACTGATAAATGGTTAGAATACAGCTTTTTTCTGAAATATACCTACATATGTAATAAATATTTGTATACATTTTCATTAAATATCGAATGAAATCTTTAATAATTTAATATGGCAAGTTCCAAGACAATTAAGAATTATTTACCGTTATACAGTGGTTTAATATACTTGGTAAAAATATGACTTTTAAGTAAAATTTAGTTTAGAGTGAAATAATTTACCTACGTTATATTTACCATTAAAAATCCATTCAAATAAAATAAGATTTGAGTAATTTTCTTTTGTAAAAATTAATTAAAGAATATTAAAATACTTCAAAGTTGTGAAACTTTATAATGTATAATGAAAGTATGATATTCCTAATAAAAACTTATTATTACCTGACAAGATTTTTACCTACTTAAATTTACTTATATTGAGTAATAAATCCGCAAAGCTCGACTATTTTACTTAAAATGCTGCTTGTGATATCTATAACATATTTATGATTTGCAATATGAGCTATGAAGTGCTAAAAAGGTCTTTCATCATAATTTTTTATTGTTGGTTAAGTGGCCGCAATGAGTAGAACGCTCCCCTATAAGGGCGATTCATGTTGCCTATTTTTTAAGGGTGTCATACTACAAGGGTCAAAAACCGAGATTGTCTCTCTATGAATTGAGAAGAAAAGGTGTAATAACTGTGTCTAACAAGATGTAAAATAAAATAATGCTTATTCAACGTAGTAAGAACGATAATGTAGTCGGTCCCGTTAGACCTTTTAGTTATGAAACAAATTTTTTAAATTAAAATCTGTATAGGAAAAAGTATTAAAAAAAGAATGAATTTTTTAATATAGGTTCGTATTGATATTTAAATTAAACTGAATACATTTGTGTGAGTAATGTTGATGCGTTCGTTGTAGTAGTTTTTTAATAATCGATATAAAAAAATAATTTTTGGCGCGAAACTGGTTGGTAAGAGCGTTATCAGTGGGTGTCGCTATCCGTCGGTAGCGATTTGTTTACGTTTAGATTGACGTATAAACGGCGAAATCGAGTAGGCCGGTCATCGAGCGCCTAGATCTGACAGAGCGCGACAAAGTTGGAAAAGCAGGACGCTGCCGCCACCGCTGAAGACACCGAGCTGGTGGCCGAGGCGGCGGCGGCGGCAGCGAGCCGTGCAGGTGTTAAGACGAAAGCTGAGTAAAGATGAAGAAGAAGAGGAAAAATGTTCGGCTGGGCTCAAGTGGCGGCGTCTGTGGGGTTCAGGTGTCGATTTATCGTCCCGTGTAATTAGGGTGCCTTGGCGGTGATTGCCGCGCGGCGACCACGCGGTTCTTGTGGGTGGATGGGTGGGGTGAGGGCGGTCCGGCACGATGGAGGGGGTAAGGCGTGCGCGGAGGGCGGCCACGAACCTCCTGCCGAGCCCGACGAGCCTTCAGTATTCTCTCGTTGCCCGAACGGATCGCGTTTCGCGCTCTCCACATCCCCCGTCGCTCGCTCTGCCGAACGACGTCGCACACGTGCTCCACAGTGCTTATTTCATTATTATTACAAATTAACATTAACAATTAAAGTTTATATCTTCTATGACTTAATGAACATACTTTAACGTGCATATTGTTGTTTTTGAAAAAACGCTGATCCTGTGTGCGCTCAGGACTGCCATGTGCGTGTTGTTGTTGTGTTGATCCTAGTGTTGTTTGAACTTACAGGTGTAGGACAACTTGGTCATCATGCAGCACGCGACAGGATCACCTCAGCAATTCTGCCTCCGTTGGAACAACTACCAATCCAACTTGACCAACGTCTTCGACCAACTCCTCCAAAGTGAGTCCTTCGTCGATGTCACCCTTGCTTGTGATGGACATTCAGTCAAAGCCCACAAGATGGTTTTGTCCGCGTGCAGTCCCTATTTTCAGTCGCTTTTCTTCGAGAACCCTTGCCAACATCCAATTGTGATCATGAGAGACATTAAGTGGCCGGAACTAAAAGCCGCCGTTGAATTCATGTACAAGGGTGAGATTAATGTTTCCCAAGAGCAAATCGGGCCGCTACTCAAAGTAGCCGAATCTCTTAAGATCCGTGGCCTGGCCGATGTCAACGGAGAACAAGACATAGTCGCTCCGGCAACTGGTGAATTAACCGCAAGACCATCATCAATCAAACCCATATTGACCCCAAATAATCACACACCTGTCCCAGATTGGGAAGCTTTAAGACGTAGTGTCGCCAGCACTGGTGGTGACGACTCCGCCGCCGCCGATAATGCGGCTCGAGCTAAGAAGAGACGTAGACCGTCCGGAGAACGCAGCAGCCTGAGCAGCCCCGCTGAAAGCGCTAGCACTGAAATACCGGAACCTCCACCTTCAGTGGAGATGTCACCGGCACCTTCCGCGACACCTTTGCCCCCGTCTGCCGCCTCCGTAGAGCCCTTACCGCTCACGCTGCCTCTTCCACCGCAACCGCCGATTTCTCACGCATCATCTGCTGACGACATGGAAATCAAACCTGGCATCGCCGAAATGATCCGCGAGGAAGAAAGGGTAAGTCCACATTTTTATTTATACCTATTTTTTATCGTACATTCTAGAATTAAGATAATTGTTTATTCCTATAATACTGAGAAATTTAAGTACTGATTCAAATTAATTATAACAAGAAACGCCAAAAATATTTCTTAAAAATTTTGCTGCATTCACAATAATAAATTAAAATTTATTGAACAATGAAAAATTAACAATGATCGCAACTATTATAAATCGACTGAGAATTTAAAAATATCAATTTTTTAACACAATGATAAATAGCACTATTCCATATTATTCATACATTTTTTAGATAAAAAATAAATAAAACATTGTTTTCTTATTGAATAATTTTAAACTTTTTTTAAACTCTACCTGTTTATATATTACCAGGTAATAATTACCTGTAAAGTCAATTCCAAAATTCAGTATCTAATGCATTAATAAAACTGGCTTGCACGAGTAGAGCAAGTCGCATTTAAAAATGAACAAACATACTTTTAAAAATATAAAGCAAAAGCATTAACTTCTTCCCCTATACATTGAAGTTCGGCACCCCAGACAAAAATTCACTCTCTTTCTCTCTAAACATGGTGGCAGACACGAACCGTTTCATTGTGGGGCGACCTTTGTGCCTCCTAACATGAATTTTTAAATAAACATACCATATGGACGGGCGAAACGGATGCTAGTTAAAGTTTTATTTCGGATGGACTATAAAAACTTTCTCATATGGTTACTAAAAAAACTGCGCTCGTTCACCTTTGTTAGTTACATTGTAACCAACTGAACATTAAGATATAACTTGCAGATGTGTTTTTCTATAATTGGCCTATAAATGTTTTACAAAACAAATTCCAATCAGATCAACTTACAAGCCTTCAGAAAATGTAAACAAAAAGAATTTGAAAGATAGGTACTATAAACAAAGTTAAAATTTAAGACAGCAGCTTTCAAAATTAAATAAATCTATTTTGAATTATTAAATATATTTTAAAAACGCTATACCCAACGTACTAACTTGATGTTGGTACACATGTTGAACACGTGTAGATAATGGCACAGAAACAATATAAAATTGAGTCTTATTGATTTTAAACAAAACAACCAACAATTATAACGGGCATTATTTATTATCATTTGAACCAATCATAAAATTTATAATCTGTCAGGCGGTTCTAACCTTACTTTCTACTTTTAATAATTGTACTTTTTATGTTTCGTTTAACAACTAAAATTGGCTTTAAATTCTAAGGATAAAATGTTGTACCTATGTTATTCTCCCCAGAAGGTCTTTTTTAACTACCCAATTAGTCTAAATTATTTTTATCTGACTAGTTCAAAATTAAAAATAAAATATATTATTATTAAAACTTTTAGTACCTAAGCACTGGGGTGCAGTTCTTTGTACTTTTCACACTAAAAGTGTCATTAAACATTTTAACACGTTCGGATTTATTTATGTATACGTCGATATTTAAAATGTCTTTAAATATTTCATTAATATGTTAAGAAAGTTAATAGTAAAACCAAAAAAGTTTTTAATGAAATGAAAACGACGTATTAAATATTACAATAAATTGTAATTGCACTAAACGCCTGCTTGAATTAAGTAAGTAATAACATACGATGATGAAATACAGTCACCCACGTTTTTATGGAATAATTAAGATACTTGTAAGTTTTTATTATTTAATACCTAATAATAATATATTAATATTAATACAATAAATTTATAAAATAATATTTATTAATAGTTATTGATGTCATTAGACAAAAATTGATTCTTTTTGTGCTGAGCACAAATAAAACTTTTGGACCGAATGGCACACAACATTTTTTCTTTATGTTGTAATGTTTTTAAGAATTTAAATCCAATTTTACTGGTTAAACCATAAGTACATGAAACGAAAATTATTAAAAGTAGAAAGTGAGGTTAGAACAACCTGACAAAAGTCGAATTTTATGAATGTGTAAAATCACGATGTGTAATAAAATCGGCCAATCACTGACGCTAAAAACTAATTACTAGCCTATAATGATTTATTTTGTACCTAATAGGACCGGCTATACCATAATCAATCACTTAGTATTAAGTGTTGACGACAATAAAGTTTAATTTATAGAACGCTTAAAATTTAAATTTTAAAATGTATATTAAAAATAAAATAGATAGGTATATTGGAAAATATAGTTTTTAGTGTATATTTAAATAATATTTAAAAACGTTATTAAAAATTAATACCTACTGTTTTAACCCAATATTTTTGTTTTATTTTTTTTACCGCTTTTTTATTTTTTTACCTTTTTAACAATTTTCAAACAATTATATAGCTAGTAAAAAGTTAAATTGGACGATTCAATTAAATTTAATTAATATAAATGAGCTGAACTAAAGTTGTTGGCAAGGAAAATTTTAACAATTAGTCAATTAACAATTACTTAATTGTTTGATAACGTCAATATAATTCTGTATCAAAAATGAGCGTCTCCGTTATTGTGTTTTTAGGGATTAAAATTGATGAATTCCAAGAGAAATTTGTGATAATACATATAAAAAATATTAAATAAAACATAAAATACAATAATAATAAAATATTTTGTGAAATAGTTATTTATGTTAAGGCTGAGAATTGAGTATTTTTCCAAAGTTTGAAGGTCGACGCGTTAGCGGTTTTTTTACAGACTAGGAAGCAAAAAAATCCACCTGATTGGTCTAAGTTATTCTTACAGACAACGAGATAATCGATTACTTTGGTAGTGTGACCGTTGACAAGAATAAAGCTTAAATTATAGAACGCTTGAAGATAAAAAAAAATTATTTAAATCTCATTTAATATTGATTTTCATTAAGTAAATTTCAGTGGAATGTTGTTGTACGTGTACGTGTTTTTTGGGGTGGAAATCCATTCGCATGGAGGACTAAATAAATATATAGAGGTGTAGGTAAACTCCCTTTAGGCTTTCGTTAATATTTAATTTACATTGTAATACTTGAATTTAAAATTAAAAATTAAATTATGCATGTGTTTTTCCACATAAGCACATACAAGTTTTCGTTAGTGCTAACAATTTTTTATAATATTGTATGTTATAAATATGTTTAGGTGTAAAATGATAAAATTATTTTAGGATATCTCTGGTTCTATAGTTTATTTCATTATCGTCAACACTCACTACTAAAGTAATTGATTATCACCTAGGCTAATAAAATAATTTAGACCAATCGTGTATAGTTTTTTTTTTACCTCATAGGTAGGTACCTAGTCTGTAAAAAACTTTCATCTAACCTCACTTTCTACTTTTAATAATTATTATTATAATTGTACTTTTTATGTATCATTTACTAAAAAAAAATATGCGTTAAAGATAAAATGTATGTCATGCGGCTGAGAAGTCTCTATTTGTGATTCGCTGAATTGTAGGCCTCCATTACAAGTCGACATTCACTTTGAGCTCACCACAAAAAGACTCACTTCTCAGCCTTATAAGTAACTATTATTAAAAATGTTTTAAAATTGCATTTTTTTCAAATTAGTTTACTCTGTTCTCATTTTTAACCTTGGCAATAATAATTGTTCATTTATAGCTAATTTATTTGACCTTTTAGAATTCTCAATTGAAAGTGTTATTCTTAAAGCAAAAATATTAAATATTAAAATAATTCACCTTAAAAATATTTTAAAGAGACCGAAACAAAAGTTTAAATCCAGCACGACAAAAAATTCGAATCGATACGGAACAACTGTCAATTGTTTCGTATTTAATTCGGCAGCGAGTTTTTTTGTCTGCAGTAGCGGCAGCCCTCTTTTTTTATTATATTATGCTCGCATCGAGGCAGTTGTCATAATCCGACCCGGGAAATCACCCCTTTTGCCACCGACGCAAAAAAGATGGTGTATTCAAATAAACAAGAACCGAACCCAAATGCACTTATAACAATATCGATTTGATTTTGCTGGTCTGTACAGCCAAACCGCACTCAGGGTTTTTATATTTTAATAATTGTATAAGTACCTAAATCTTTTGAAAAATAAATCGACAATTTTATTAAAGAATCCATATCGTATTGTAAATTACAATTTGTAATATCTGGTGGTTATAATGTTCAACGGTTTTGAAAAATATATAACAAATAAACTATAAACCTTATCGAAAAAATTATGCATATTAAAGTAAACGTTATAAACAATATTGTTATATAAATAACATTATCCGGATTTGAACCATCGACATCTTTAATAATTTAATATTACCATTTTAGTTATATTTTTTACCTAAAGTAAAAATTTTCTTGTAAGTTATTATTAAGTTTTTTATACCACTTTAAACCTTAAAAAGTTCCCAGACAAATAAGAATTATTTACGGTTATAAAGTGGTTTTAATAGGGTAAAAATCCCTTACAATAAAATAACCTATAAGTAATTTTAGTTGTGAAACTGTATGGTTATTAAAGAGAAAACAAAATTCATATTAAAAGCTTATTGAATAACTTGACAAGATTTTTGGTGGACAAAATTTGGCAATAAGCATTTCACTTCTTCGCCACAGATATTTAGACAAGATTTTTAACTGTCAGTTTTTAAGGTTAATTTAACAACATAATTACTTAAATTAAGTAATAAATCCGCAAAGCTCGACTATTTTACCTAAAAGGATGCTTTGGTAGTCCAAGTAATCTTTTATATATAATTATAATCATTGACATATTAATAGTGGACGCGTAACGCTTACTCTTGTGTATTAAGGTGAATTGTTAAATAACTGAACCGAAATGTCATTATCATAACCTCGAAACGACAAGTTTGCTTTGTATTTTTTTGTTAAAATACGATGTTAGTTTGTTCTGCATTGCGTAGAAGAAGTTGTATATTTTAAAATGACAAAAATAAAGAACCTTTACAGGTAAAATAACATTTTACAGGTAACATACCCTTATTGATGATAACTTAAAATTCGATTTTTAAGGTAATATTTATTTTAATAAGTATGTTAAACCAGTTCCAAAATAAACAAA